ATCACAGATAACTGCCTGGAAACATGATATCCTGTAAAGTACCCATCAGAGTCAAAATCCACAAACAACAACAAACCCACCACAGATGCCTGGGCAACCTACAGTAATAATATTTGGCACGGGTATTATCAAGCAACCTTTCCCAACCTGGCACTCTCTAATGTGTTGGACTACAACTCCCACATATCTAGCCATTGCCCCCAGTGGAAGGTGGAAGAGTGAAATAGCAGAAGGAAAGAGAAAGAAATGAGATTACTGTCCACTTTTGGTTCTGGCCCTGCCAAGTGCCAGCATCCAGCCCCCAATGTTATTACCCGATAAAAAATATGGCCCTTGACTGGGAAAAAAAAAGATTCCTCATTCCTGGCATAAAGATACTGAAGGAATTCTGATGGATTGGCAAGAGCAGCTCCATTCACAGGAGGAGGGCAACAGGTCACTCTTAAAATAGCACAGGGTACACATGGGGCAGTGTCACCATCTGTTACAAGTGAGAACATGACTTATGACTAATGGCAACCATGCAGCACCAGACAAGGAAGGCAAGCCTTGTTTCCACAATTGTGCGACTACCTTGGTGTTTCCAATCCACCCCTCTGCTGAAACTTAGCAGAAGAGGGCAGCACATAACAGGGGGCTGGAATATCAGGTGTTGCTCTTCATAAGAAGCCACACCACACAGTTATAGTACTATGATTCCACTTTTTACTGCCATAGTTTCATCCTTTGTAATATTGAGACTGGCAGCTGAGGAGAGGAGTATATAGAATAGGAAAATAGAAGCCAGGGAGCTCTCATCAGACTACAAACCCCAGGACTCCGCTGGGTGCAGCCATGACAGCTAAAGCAAAATCATAGTGCTATAACTGTGCAGTGTGAAAGGGTCCCAGGACTCTTGATCCATACTAAAAACTAGAGTCCTGTTCTTAGATCATAGCAACACCCCTGCCAGCTTCTCTCTTATTAAAATAGGGCTTGGAATGAATGAGAGCATGTAGTAATGTTTGTATTTTGAGAGAGTCTAGGGGAAAGACACAACTATGCATCTATACACCCTGGGCCATTGATATTTTTTGGGGGGGGGGTAATTATACAAGTGCAGAATAAAAACAAAATAATGTATTGTGGGTTTGTTGAGACTCTTATAGCTCCCACTTCTGATGGAGGGAGGTGAGAAGCAGGAGTGGGGAAGCCTCCTTATTGAAGAAGAGGGAAACAGCTGGCCCCTTCCAGGCCTCCAGTTTCCAACTCCTCAGACAGATAGTTTCCCACTCTGGAAAGGAGATGGGGTGGTTATGAGGCAGATGTGCAGGTGACTGAAAAGCTCCCCTTCCTCAAGTTGGAAGGCTGCCCAACAAGGGGCTGCCTCCCAGCTATGAAAAGAGGCCTATGAAGGTGCAGCCTAGGTAAATTATGCCATGATAATATCCCATTATCCCAGTATAAGGCACTTTTAGGCTGGCAAAAGTGGCAGTTGTAGGGATGGAAGAGAAAGCCATCCCTATCACAAGAGAAAACTGATCTGCCAACTCCCAGAACCGTCTAAACATGGGCAGAGTAGACTTCTCTTTGGATAAAGAACTCCCTATGCTACCCTCCCTTTGTTACTGTGGTGTTCACGGCCATTTTACCACTATATTGCCACCATCATGACCTATACTGGCACATAGTCATATTGGACATACTGGATTCCAGGAGACAGCCTTCTCAATTTGTGGACTCTCAGGTGGGATGCTGCACCACAGTGGACAGCCTATTATCTGTGAAGTCGTAGGCTTTCATGGCCGGCATCCATAGTTTTTTGTGGGTTTTTCGGGCTGTGTGGCCATGTTCTAGAAGAGTTTCTTTCTGACGTTTTGCCAGCCTATTATCTGCCAAGCAGGGCTTGGAAAAATTACAATTTATGTACCACAATGTCCAGAATCCCAGTGCTCAAGGCCACTGGCCTTGCTGTCTCAGGGATTGAGAGAGCTATTACCCCCAAAAAGTAAGATTTCCAGGCTCTGCAGTTGAGCAGGTAAAAATTTGAGGGTGTTTTTGTCTGGAGGGGAGAGGAAAGTGAGCTGGCCAGGTGAGTTTCTTCCACATCCCTAGTCTGTATATGAGTGTGTGAATATATATCTGCATTCTTCTGGTTTGGTGACCTGTTTTTTTCTTTTAAAACAAAATTATGTCTGCTGTCAGAATCTGCTAAATACCTCCCTGTTTTGAACCATTCTTTTTTTTCCTTTAAATTTTAATGCAACATATATTTTGGTAATCATGTCAAGTGGTTTCCAACTAATTCTAAGGGTTCATTTTTTCTTACTCAGTAAAAGATAGCTTTGTACGTTGAATTAATGTATACGTTTATAAGAAATTTTCACCCTGGATTCCTCTTGCCTTCCACAACTGCCACCATACCCAGAAAGAATGGCCAATGGTGAGGGATGATTTCTGGAGAGTGCTACTCTGTGGAAGTCTGGACTCTTAGCATGAACATGACCCCTCCACAATATCATTACAAAATAAATGTGTTTGCAGTGTTACACCACCCTGGTCTGGAATAGTTACTGTTAGCATTCAAGCTCCCATGCATCCCAATCCAACCCTCATCCTTGCACTCACCAGCATGCACTCTCCTGAATGCATATCATTCTGTAGTGCTTCCTCCAGGATCCCATTTCTCTGTGGAAAAGGAAAGGCAAATGCAGTAAGTGCTGCAGAAATTACAGCCAAGCTACATACCCTGCACAATCCAGGGCTGGCCCCACTAAGGGAGTAGGTTTGGGCTGGCATCCTGTTGATCAATCCCAATCAGAGTAAATCCCCTCACCCAGTTGTCAAGCAATGAGTCAATATGCAGGTAAAACTCTTTGATTCGACAAGACTAATGTTATAGACTATATTATTTAGTTGTCAACTTTGTGCCCTGCTCAAGGAACTTTAAAAGTGCAGCATTTAACCTAATATCACCTATAGAGGGTAAGATATGCCATAAGATTTAATGCAGGCAGTTAGAGCTGTGAGTTAGTGGAAAACTGGCTACAGATGTCATGTCAGACTGGGAAGAATGCCAGATGCTCTGTAATGTAAATAGATAAGCAAAATGCCTGCACTCTTGAAGCACACATACTGACACATACTCAAGAAATGAAGACATCAGTAGATTTTGGAAAGTAGACAAACTATGATATGTACGCTAGATACCTATCTTAGCTCAAATTTCTATTTCAGTTGGGAAGAGCTAGTGCACACTTAAGTTATGAGTTATTTTGACTGGTCATAAAGGGGCATAAAGAGAAGATAAAAAAAGTCCAAACATAATTCTTATCACACTGTCTTCATCTCCAGTGTAGAAAGAGAAGGCAATAATGTCACCTTCCAGATATGTTTGTTCCTAATAACCTGATAGCTCAATAATTGGCCCAGACATGCTGCCCAAACATGCTGAGATACTGACAAGACTAATGCTAAAATAGAAATAAAAAAGATATGTCCCATTCAGCTTGTAATGGATGCCAGTGAACATGTTTATTGTAATAGATGCTGTTCAGAACTAACAACACTCAAGGAGATTAACCCTTGAATGACAATAGATGAGATTGTAGGTTTTTTGTGGGTTTTTTCGGGCATGTTCTAGAAGAGTTTCTTTCTGACGTTTTTCCAGCATCTATGGCT